AAGCTGGAAGAAATGGACAAATTCTTGGAAAGGTGCAACTTTCCAAGACTGAACCAGGAAGAATTAGAAAATATAAACAGACCAATCACAAGCAATGAAATTGAAACTGTAATTAAAAATCTTCTAACAAAAGTCCAAGACCAGATGGCTTCACAGGTGAATTCCATCAAACATTTAGAGAAGAGCTAACACCTATCTTTCTCAAACTCTTCCAAAAAATTGCTGAGGGAGGAACACTCCCAAACTCATTCTACGAGGCCACCATCACCCTGATACCAAAACGAGACAAAGAAATCACACAAAAAAAGAAAATTACAAACCAATATTACTGACCAACGTAGATGCAAAAATCCTCAACAAAATACTAACAAACAGAATCCAACAACACATTAAAAGGATCATACACCATGATCAAGTGGGATTTATACCAGGGATGCAAGGATTCTTCAATATAGGCAAATCAATCAATGTGATAAACCATATTAACAAATTGAAGAATAAAAACCATATGATCATCTCAACAGATGCAGAAAAAGCTTTTGACAAAATTAAACACCCATTTATGATAAAACCTCTCCAGAAAGTGGGCATAGAGGGAACCTACCTCAACATAATAAAGGCCATATGTGACAAAACCCACAACAAACATCATTCCCAATGGTAAAAAACTGAAGGCATTTCCTCTAAGATCAGGAACAAGACAAGGATGTCCACTCTCACCACTATTATTCAACATAGTTTTGGAAGTCCTGACCACAGCAATCAGAGAAGAAAAAGAAATAAAAGGAACACAAACTGGAAAAGAAGAAGTAAAACTGTCACTGTTTGCAGATGACATGATACTATACATAAAGAATCCTAAAGATGCCACCAGAAAACTACTAGAGCTAATCAATGAATTTGGTAGTTTCAGGATACAAAATTAATGCACAGAAATCTCTTGCATTCCCATACACTAACAACAAAAGATCAGAAAGAGAAATTAAGGAAACAATCCCATTTACCATTGCAACAAAAGAATAAAATACCTAGAAATAAACCTACCTAAGGAAGTAAAAGACCTGTACTCAGAAAACTGTAAGAAACTGATGAAAGAAATCAAAGATGACACAAACTGATGGAGAGATATAAAATGTTCTTGGATTAGAAAAATCAATATTGTGAAAATGACTATACTTCCCAAAGCAATCTACAGATTCAGTGCAATCCCTATCAAATTACCAATGGCATTTTTCACAGAATTAGAAAAAAATTTCACAGTTTGTATGGAAACACAAAAGACCCCAAATAGCCAAAGCAATCTTGAGAAACCAAAACAGAGCTGGAAGCATCAGGGACCCTGACTTCAGACTATATTACAAAGCTACAGTAATCAAGACAGTATGGTACTGGCACAAAAACAGAAATACAGATCAATGGAACAGGATAGAAAGCCCAGAGATAAACCCACGCACCTATGGTCACCTAATCTATGACAAAGGAGGCAAGAATATACAATGGAGGAAAGACAGCCTCTTCAATAAGTGGTGCTGGGAAAAGTGGACAGCTACACGTAAAAGAATGAAAATAGAACACTACCTAAACATCATACACAAAAATAAACTCAAAATGGATTAAAGACCTAAATGTAAGACTGGACACTATAAAACTCTTAGAGGAAAACATAAGAAGAACACACTTTGACATAAATCACAGCAAGATCTTCTTGACCCACCACGTAGAGTAATGAAAATAAAAACAAATGGGACCTAATGAAACTTAAAAGCTTTTGCACAGCAAAGGAAACCATAAGATGAAAAGACAACCCTCAGAATGGGAGAAAATATTTGCAAATGAAGCAATGGACAAAGGATTAATCTCCAAAGTATACAAATAGCTCATGCAGCTCAATGTCAAAAAAAACAAACAACCCAATCAAAAAATGGGTGGAAAACCTAAATAGACATTTCTCCAAAAAAGACATACAGGTGGCCAAGTGGCACATGAAAAGACACTCAACATCACTAATTATTAGAGAAATGCAAATCAAAACTGCAATGAGGGATCACCTCACAAGTCAGAATGGCCATCATCAAAAAATCTACAAACAATAAATGCTGGAGAGGGTGTGGAAAAAAGGGAACCCTCTTTTTGGTGGGAATGTAAACTGATACAGCCACTGTGGAGAACAGTATGGAGGTTCCTTAAAAAGCAAAAAATAGAACTACCATATGACCAAGCAATCCCACTACTGGGCAGATACCCTGAGAAAACCATAATTCAAAAAGACACATGCACCCCAATGTTCATTGCAGCACTACTTACAATAGCCAGGTCACAGAAACAACCTAAATGTCCATCGACAGATGAATGGAAAAAGATGTGGTACATATATGCAATGGAATATTACTCAGTCATAAAAAGGAATGAAATTGGGTCATCTGTAGAGATGTGGATGGACCTAGAGCCTGTCATACAGGGTGAAGTCAGAAAGAGAAAAACAAATATCATATATTAACATATATATGTGGGATCTAGAAAAATAGTACAGATGAACCTATTTTCAGGGCAGGAATAGAGACACAGATGTAGAGAACGGACGTGTGGACACAGGGCGGGGTTAGGGGAGGGTGGGATGAATTGGGAGATTAGACTGACATAAATACACTACCATGTGTAAAATGGATAGCTAGTGGGAACCTGCTGTATAGCACAGGGAGCTCAGCTCAGTGCTCTGTGATGACCTAGCTGCGGGGATGGGGGGAATGGAGGGAGGTCCAAGAGGGAGGGGACATATGTATACATTATGTACAATAACAAAAGGTGGAAGTGACCCAAAGGTCCATCGGCAGATGAATGGATAAACAAGATGCAGTAGATCCATACAAGGAAATTTTTTTTAAAATAAATTTATTTTATTTTTTTGGCTGCGTTGGGTCTTCGTTGCTGCGCCCGGGCTTTCTCTAGTTGCGGCGGGCAGGGGCTACTCTTCATTGTGGTGTGCGGGCTTCTCACTGTGGTGGCTTCTCTTGCTGGGAGCATGGGCTCTAGGCGTGTGGGCTTCAGTAGTTGTGGCATGCAGGCTCTAGAGCGCAGGCTCAGTGGTTGTGGCACACGGGTTTAGTTGCTCCGCGGCAGTGGGATCTTCCCAGACCAGGGCTCGAACCCGTGTCCCCTGCATTGGCAGGCGGATTCTTAACCACTGCGCCACCAGGGAAGCCCCGAAATACTTTCCAGTCTTAAAAAGGAAGGAAATTCTGGCACTTTACAACATAAACCCTGAGGGCATTATGCTAAATGAAAGAAGCCGAATAAGAAACAAAAGACATACTGCATGATTCCAGTTGTATGAGGTCCCTAGAGTAGTCACATTCATAGAGAAAGTAGAATGGTGGTTGCCAGAAGCTGGGAGGGGAAAATAGGGAGTTAGTGTTGAATCTGTATTGAGTTCCAGTTTTGCAAGAAGAAAAAAGTTCTGGGGATGGTTGGTGGTGATGGTTGCACAGCAATGTAAACGGACTTAGGGCCACTGAACCACACATATAAAAGTGGTAAATTTTGTTATGTCTTACACTACCGAAAATAAATTTTTAAAAATTAATTTAAAAACTTACATGTGGAAGAGACTGTTTCTTCAGGTGCTAGAATCAAGTGGCAAACCATGACCTGCTGCTGAAATCTGCCCAGACACGTACTTTGGATCAGAGGCATTTGAACTTGAAAGCCTCTGGAGGGGATGCATGCTTGCCAGGTGGCCCTGAGTCCCCCACTCCCAGTCACCTTACTTGCCTGGCTACTGAAGGCGTTGGAGGCTGGAACCCCAGATGGAGCAAGGGAAGACTTTTAGGCGAGAGCTCGTAGTGTCTGTTTATTTTGCGAACGGCCTCTGCTGCGCAGGAGGCCTGCCTTGCGGGAACAGAGCTGGTGAAGTCCGGATGTGGAGGACAGTAACACTCACCCAATACCCCATGAGCCCCCTCCATGTCCCAACTCCTTGTGACTAGTTCTGGCCAATGAACCACGAGCAGAAGTGACCTGTGTGTCATTTCTGGGCTCAAGCAACTGGTGATGTCCCCCCACAGTGGAGCCTCCACTGGCCTGGGTCCCCAAAAGACGATGTCAAAACAGAGGCCCCATGTGACCCATGACAGACAGGTAGTATGAGCAAGTCAGCAAGAAATAGGCCTTTATGTCAAACCACTGGGATTTGGGGGTTAATTTGTTACCGTGGCATAACCTCGCTTATCCTGACTAATATATGTGCTGTGCTGGATGGGGAAAGGTTTTCTCAGCTTCACAAGCTCCAGGTGGGAGCCACGGACCACAGCCATAGTTCCACGGCTCTAAGCCAGAAACCTCAGAAAAAGCACATGCCTTCCCTGGGCTTAGGCTCCCCAGCTATTCCATTTGTACCTAAAAATCAGGAATTTCATATTGTTCAACCTATGGGAGTATAAAGCCAGGTGCTGCTTACTAATCCAGGAGGGCAGATCTGGGCTCTCGGCCAACCTTGCCTCTGACTCCAACCCTCCTGGCCCTGTTTCCCCATGTGTCCCTGACGGAGTTCTAGATCACCCGTGGCTTCTAGGGCTGGGCTAGAGATGGGAGTGAAGGAGCCACCTGGCCCAGGGACTTCGAGAGAGTCCCTCCATCACTGGACCCCAGTGTCAGGGGCCAAGAATAAGGGGAGAGCTCACTCATTCCCCACTGTCACAGCTTCAGCCTCATCCACAGGGAACAGCCTGAGACCCCAAGCCCCTTGCTGAGATGGATTTTTAACGCTCACCTTGACCTCAGCCTTACTCTGGGGAGCCTCACCCCCACCTGTCTGGTGGGGAGGCCACCTACCCAGAGTTAGAAGCTGCACAAAGAGCCACACTCAGGGCGCTGGATCCACCCTGCCCAGCACAGGTTGTCAGAGGTGTCCTTCCGCAAGTGAGGGGGGCAGGCCGAGGCCAGGGCACCTCTAGGGCTCTGAGGGCATCAGCAGGACAGAGCCGGCACATGTGGGAATCTGGAGCTGCAGGGAGTGCTGAGCTTTATTTACAAACGTGTCACAGAAGCCCCTCTTCCCAACCCCAGGGTCTCCTCTGTCCCCAGGAAGGAGACAGGCCTGAGGCCACCCACCGGCCCAGCCTAGGAAGGTGGGGCCAGAGTCCACCTCCAGCTGAGGCTGGGCAAAGCTCCCCTCTCGTGGGCGCACCTCCCGGAGGAGAGAGGCTGAAACGACGGTAGGGGCACCGTCCACCTCCCAGTGGCCAGTCCTCAGGGCTTCGGCCGGGCGGCACGGGGCTGGGGCACGGAGGGTTCTGACCAGATTAGGGTGGGGGCTGGGACCCGCGTTGGCACGGCCTGGAGAGTGAAGGGAAGGGTGTCAGGGGGGCCTCTTTGGGGGCAGCCTCATCCCCTTCTGGATCTCAGAGTTGGGGTCACCTTCCAGGGTGGGGTGGGGTAGCCAGCAGGCAACAGTGGTGCCTGGAGAGGTGCCGTGGGTCAGGGCCAGGGAACCCCACAGAGAGACATTTCCAGGCTCTGCACTCCTACCCCAATCCTGCCCTCCAGGACTCTGCGGTCCCCAGGCTGCTCCAAGGCATCTGTCTCTCCCAGGGCACCCTGGACCGTACCCGGTGAGAAGGGCTGGTGGCTGACAGCTTCCGACGTTGGGCCTCAGAAGAGACACTGGACCAGAGGTCCAGGCTCTTGGGGGCTGAGCTTTTCTCAGACTTCGGAGGAAGAATGTCCCAGCCCAGCAGGCAGTGCTGTGGAGAGCAAAGGGTTAAGGTGCCTGGCCTGGAGCGGGGCTCCCCACTGACTGGGCACACCCCAGGGAGGGGCTGTACCTCTCCCCTTGGACTGGCAGCATCCTCTAGGACAGGGCTGTGTCCCCCATGAGGGTGAAGGGGCCCCCCAATCACAGTGTCCCCCACGGACTGAGGCTCCCCGAGGGCAGGGGTCTTATCCACCACTGTTACCCCAGGCCTCCCTTTCCTAACCCTGCTGACCCAGGCCCTGGGCCCCGACCACAGATGGGTGGAGGGAAGGCCGTGGACGCTGATGGAGCACGTCCTGTGTACCAAGTTCTGCCCCAAGCCCTCGACAGGTATTGACTCAATGACCTGCCCCTTGTCCACCCCATGAGCCTGAGGATAGTATGTTGTACCCATTTTACAGATGAGCAAACTGACTTTCCTCAGTACCCCTTCTCCTCCCCGCAACCCCAGCACCTCCGGACTCCACTGGGAATGAGTGGGGTCCCCAGTGACCCCTGTCCTACCCAGGAGACACAAAGGACCTAGGTTGAAATCCCAGCTCTTCCATCCCGCTGACCTTGGACAAGTCACCTCCCATCTGCCTCAGTCTCCTCATCTGTAAAGTGGGATAACAGTAGTACCTGCACTCTCGGTTGCTGTGGCTCCACGAGACAATCGCCCTAAGGACTGTGCATGTGGCCACAAGAGCGCAAGAAATGGGGCCCGTGTGCACTAGGGCAATGCACTGCACGGGCAGACAGTCCTCCTGGAAGCCAGGGGCTGGGTGGGGAGCCCAGCCTCCCTCAGGGAACAAGCACGGTACACATGACATGAGTGGCCCAGCCCTAACTCCAGAGACTTCGGTCCTTCAGCCCAGCCTCGCTATTGGCCTTGGGACAGTCCCTGGCCCTCTGGGCCTCAGGACACGTCCAGAGACCTGAGCCAGACAGGGGACAGCCCCAAGGCCATCCTCACCCGGGGCAGCGCCAGCGTGTCGGAGGCGTCGAAGCTCTTCCGCCGGTGGATGCGGTACCGGTGCGGGGGGTCCAGGACAGACAGCGGGATGCTCACCCTGGTGGGGGTAATAGTGGGGGCATTGCTGCAGGCGCCTCCAGGCCGCTGTGGCCCATCCTGCCCTCCCTCAAAACCACAGGCCCCAGGCTCTGCTCTCGTCCTCAGCTGCGGCTGCCCCTACAGCTCCCCCCGGTGTCCTGCCTACTCTGGCCACTCACCTGACCTGCGCTGGCTCTGCCAGGGTCTCTGGACCCCGCTGGCCCCGTGGTGTCCGGCACAGGCGGCAGGGGGTGCGGGGATCCGAAGGCACCAGAAACAGGCGCCGGTTGACACAGTAACAATATACACCTGTGAGATCCGTGAGAGGCAGAAGTCCCCCTCAGCCAGGGAACCTAGGTCCCTGGACCCCAACCACACAGGCTCGCCCACGTGTACACAGACAGAGCATGCACACGCACACGTGCTCACATGCAACAACACTGAGCACCGCCTTCTACTCGAGCGTGACACACGCGTGCACATGCCAGCAACTTCACACGTGCAAATGTCATCCATGCAAACACAAAGCACGGCTTCATAGTCATATCTGTGGACACACAGGAACGTGCCTACACTTGTAATCACACATACAGGGTGCACACACACGTACATCCATAGGAACACGCCTCACACACATATGTACACACCGTATGCTGCTCGTGCAAACCCACAGCAAAGACTTGGGTGCCCACGTGACAGAGCTGGAACACCGCCCCCCCCCCCCCCCCGCCCACCCAGACGACCCTGTGTGGAGAGGAGGGGGAGGGAGTGGGGACACATGGGAAAATGAGGCAGCTGGGAGAAAACGGAAGGCGCGGGCGAGGGGCGAGGTGGATAGCACAGGGCAGGCCCTGTTCCCCCTGAGGCCAGGCCTCAGCTCACCCCAGGCTTGCGGCCCCCCTGCCCGGACCCCAGGCCTCCCTCCCTCCATCCCCAGCTGCCTCCCCAGGCCCCCAGGCCTTAGCTGGGCTACGGGGCGGCCGCCGAGCGTTTACACTCACATTCGTGGTCCCCCTCCGCAGCACTACTCTCCTGCAGGCCTAGGAACTGGGATCTGTGAGGGCGAGAGGGTGAGCAGGCCAGGGTGACACAGTCCCTGAGCCCGCCGCCCTGCCCGCCCCGCGCCTGCCGCTGCTCACTCAGGGTCACTGCAAATACACTCCTCCTTGTTGGCTTCCCGGAACTTCTGCAGCTTCGAGAAGAAGGCCTCGGGCTTGCTGGTGACGGGAGAGCTATTGTCCGGAGACCCTGGAGCGGGTAACACACAAAGGAGCTGCTGTGTGGCCAAGACTCAGGGGAAGCTGGGCACTGGCACCCCAGGCCACCTGCTTTGACCTCACCATACCTCGTACAGACCTGGAGGGGACCCTCCACTCATGTGACTGTTGGTTTTGTCTCGTGTCTGTCTACCCTCATGCATATCCAATCGTCCACGCAAAAAATATTTATAGAGCCCCTACTACGGGCCAGACGCTGTTCTACGTGCTGGGGAAAGAACAGCTACCTGGACAAAGCCCCTACCCTCGTGAGGCTTACTTTCTAATGTGGCAACAGACGAGCTAGTCACCAAAGAAACCTGTAATACAACATTGAGGGGTGACACCTGCCAGGAAATAAAAGAGAGTCAGGAGGGACTTCCCTGGTGGTCGAGTGGTTGAGAATCTGCCTTCCAACGCAAGGGACGCGGGTTTGATCCCTGGTCAGGGAACTAAGATCCCACATGCCACGGGGCAACTAAGCCCACGTGCCGCAACTACTGAGCCTGCACGCCACAACTAGAGAGAGAGGAGCCTGTGCACCGCAATGAAGAGCCCGCGTGCCACAACTAAGACCCGACGCAGCCCAAAATAATAAATAAATAAATAAAAGAGAGTCAGAAAACTGACCTTGGTAGGGCAGGGGAGCCAGAGGAAGTTTCCCTGAGGAGGCGACACCTGAGCAGAGACCTGACGAAGGGAGGGAGGGAGCCGTGGGGACATCCCAGGCAGACAGAAGAGCAAATGCAAAGGCCCTGGGGCAGCTGTGGTTGGTATGTTTGAGGAACACCCAGGAGGTAAAAATAGGTTGTAGGGGTGAGGGTGGAGGAGATGAGGCTGGGAAGGCAGCGGTGGGTTTGGGGACAAGGAGTGACGCAATCAGATCAGCCATGTACTTTTATAGGACCCCCCTTCTGGCTGCTGCAAGGTGAGGGGAAGCAGGGGCACCAGTTAGGAGGCTACTGCAGGCATCCTGGTGGAGACAAACAGTAAAATTCTAGAAATATGTGGAAGGCAGGACTACCAGGATGCACAGTGTGTGAAAAGGACAGGAAAATATCAAGGCTGATCTCAAGATTATGGCCATTAGCTCCATAAATGGAGTTGCCACTAACAGAGATAGAACAGGCTGCAGGAGGACCAGGTGGGGTGGAAATCAGGACCTTGACTTTGGACCTGAGATTACTCTAACACACCTAATGAGCTCTGCAGAGAAGAAAGCCAGATATACAAGTCTGGAATTCAGACAAGCAACACGGGTAGAGATAAAGTCAGGGAGAAGAGAGCATGGAGAGCCTCGGCACTGAGGGGGGGCCTCTGGAATTTGGAACAAGGAAGTGGATCCAGCAGAGACTGGACAGAGCAGCCAGGGAAGTGGGGAAGAGCCAGTGGGGGGGGGCCCGGGCCTGGAAGTCAGAAGAAGAAAGAGCTTCGGGGAGGAGGGAGTGGCCGCTGTGTCCACGCTACCCAGGGGCCAAGAAAGCTCTGGACTGAGCACTGAGCCGGGAGCTGGCAATGCAGAGGTCACTGCTGACTCGGCCGAAGACAGCGTCAGAGGGCGTCAGGGGCTGAAGCCCAGTTTAAGAAAAAGTCAGGGAGAGAAACTGGAGACAGCGAGCCGAGATGGCCCTTTTGAGGAGTCTTGTTATAAAGAAAAGCAGAGAACATGGGCAGTAACTAGAAGCAAAGACAAGACATAAAGGGAGTGATGCTTCCTCAGGATGGGGCATCACAGACTGCAGCTTTACCCCTGACCAGATGTGAGACTTTGCTAAGTTTTTCAGTCTCTTGATGCCTCAGCCTTCTCATCTGCCAGTGGGGACAGTAACAACAACCACCTAATCAGATTATTGTGAGAAGTTAAGAAGTGAATGGGAGCGAAGCAGAGGAAAGCTCTTGGCACAGGGCCCGGCACATAATAAGCACTCACTGAAATCAATTGTCATTAATATTCCCTGGCATTCGTATACTGACAGGGCAGAGTGATGGTGGAGGAAGGAGAGGAGAGAATTACAGGGAAAAAACCCTCTGGGAGGGACTTCCCTGGTGGCGCAGTGGTTAAGAATCCGCCTGTCAATGCAGGGGACACGGTTTTGAGCCCTGGTCTGGGAACACCGCGCATGCCGCGGAGCAACTAAGCCATGCACCACAACTACTGAGCCCGCGCGCCGCAACTACTGAAGCCCGCGCGCCTAGAGCCCGCGCTCCGCAACAAGAGAAGCCACCGCAGTGAGAAGTCTGCGCACCGCAACGAAGAGTAGCCCCCGATTGCTGCAACTAGAGAAAGCGCATGTGCAGCAACGAAGACCCAACGCGGCCAAAAATAAATTAATTAATTAATTTAAAAAAAAAAACCTCTGGGAGCCAAGAAGGGATGGGGCCCAAGCACACAAATGCAGGGACAGGACGGGGGCTCGGAAAGGGGGGAGAGAGGTGTGTGCGCGCGCGCGCGCGCGCACACACACACACACACACACACACACACACACACACACACAGGGCAGGCAGTGGGCAGCCGCCTCTACTTTCCTAGAGACAGGAAGCAAAGCAGTGAGCTGGCAGCCAGGGAAGTCCTTGGGATGGGGCCTGTGTCCCCACCACCGCAGGGTCTCAGCAGCCCCATGGAGCACCTGCCTTGGGGCAGCAACTCAATTTCTCTGTACACCAGTTTCCTCCTTTGTGAAAGTGAGGGTCCGATAGCACCAACCTCCTAGGGCCGCCCACTCACTCACTCAGCCAGCGTTGGCTGAGGGCCTACTACGTTCCAGGCACCGTTCTAGGCTCAGACTCGGGGAGCACAGCAACAAAAAAGATGGCCAGGCCCCTGCTCCAACAGAGCTTATAGTCCACCGGAGAAGTCAGACAAGAAACAAGATGACTTCTGAGAATGAATGAATGATACGAGGAACATACAAACGGCTGATGCAATAGGCAAGGATGCAGGTGTCGTGGCCCTACAACGTTGTGCTCATGGAAGGCCTACCATTTGAGCTGAACACTCAGTGACGAAAAGGAACCAGCAGGTGTGAACCTGGGGAAGTGCGTTCAAAGCAAAGGGCACAGCAAGTGCAAAGGCCCCGAGGTGGCCGTGAGCATGGCAGGTTCAAGGACCAGCAAGCAGGCCGGCGTGAGGAGTCAGAAGGTAGATGGTTAAGAGGCCATGTCACAGGGCCAAGCAGAAGCCAGATCACACCTCAAAACTCTAGATAAGGATTTCAGATTTTACTCTAAGTGCTAAGTACTCTGAGTGACGTGATCTGATTCCCGTGTTTAAACATTAGTTCTGGCTGCTGTGCCGAAAATGGATGATAATGGGGGTGAAAGAGGCCAGAGGGAGCCCAGCCAGGAAGCCACTGAGGTTGCTGGGGGAGAGGGGGGATGGGCAGTAAAACATAAAAAGATGACACGCACACAGAGTTTCACAGAGGCCTGGCACACAAGAAATGCCAAAAAAATACGGCAGCTCTGATTCGTTCATTCATTCAACAAACACTCGGTGAGCACCATCTCTGTGCCTGTCACTGTGCCAAGGGCCGAGACAGGAGACGTGGTACTGAAGGTGCTCACCGAGGGGGGTGAAACAGTCAGAAAAAGAGCAGCAGCGCCCGCTGGGGGCGCAGGCAGGTGCAGAAGCAAGCTGGGGCCTCCACCCGCGTCCCTGGGCACGGGGGCCAGCCACACCTGCAATCCAGTCGTAGCCCAGGCACGGTCTGAGGCGCCAGCTCTTCTCAGGCACTGGAGACTCCTTGTTGGTCACTCTCGGCTGAGGAGGGAGGCAAAGAGGGGCAAGGGCTAGGCCAGCAGGCCTGGCCCAAAGGAGGTCCCACCTTGCAGGGAGGAAAAGGGCTGTGTCTTAACTCATACCCTGACATGGGCCCCAGGGCTCAGCCGAGGGCTTGGGGGCTGGAGGACAAGAGTTTGGCCCCCACCCTGCTCCACGTGTGACTTTGAACAAGTCTGTCTTCTGAACGCCCGTCTTCCCATCTGCATAATGGGGCTGGTCACCTTCTTCCCAAAGTGCTGTCTGAGAAACTAATGGCCACAAGTTATCAAGCACTTAGGCTGAGCTGGACTTGACTCATGGTACCTCCCAGGAGCCTCACCCTGGAAGGGAGGCTGCCCATGAGTGCATCTGTCAGGGGGGAAACTGAGGCTCAAGGAAGTGCCCATCAGTGGATGCTCCACTCGCCCGCATTACCTCGGACAGCTTGCTCCGTTGAGCCAGGAGGGACTTCAGGGCCTGTGCCTCCTGGGTGTCTAGACTCTCCAGCTCTGCTGGAAGCTCTGGGTCGCTCGAGTCTGAGGTGGCCAGCAAGGGAGCCGAGCGGGGCCTCAGTGGGCCCGGGGACTCCTGGTGGAGGCACTTGGCAGGTGGAAGAGAGACCACCCCGGAGCTGGCCCCATCCCTATCACAGGGGTCACCTTGGTGGGCATCCTGTGGGGAGGCTCTCGAGGCCACTGAGGACGTCTCTTGGGATGACGGCATCTCTGAGTTGTAGCTGCTGCTGGAGTCCAGGCTTGACTGGAACAGAGAGGCCAGTTCACCCAGCCATCTACCCAGCTGGCCTGCACTGGGCATGAAGGCCTGGACCTCACCCTTGCTCCAGCCTCTGCATGTGCCAGGCCAGTCCCTTCCCACGCTGGGCCTCACTCAGTTTTCTCATCATCAGTAAAATGGGCATGCTGCACGAGAGGACCCGGAAGCCCTGGATTCTGACCTGAGGGTTAGGCAGCCCCTCCCTCACTCCGGGGACTTGGCCAAGGCACTCACCTCTGAGGCTGCCTTGGCCACGGACTGCCGCACGGCATCCTGTCCGACCCACAGCTGCCTCAGGAGCTCCAGGTTGAGCTGCCGTAGCTGTGCCAGATCTCTGGTCTCCACCATCCCAGGCGTATCCACTGGCTTCCCACGACAGGTGTCACCAACTCCCGGGCCACAGAGTGCCCTCACAGCCAAGTTCTCCTACCTGAAGCCAAGACAGACAGCACGACATAGCGCTGAGGAGGCTGCCCTGCAGAGCCAGAGGCCGGGGTTCAAATCCCCACTTTGATACTCCCTAACTGTGCAGCCTCAGACAAGTTATTTAACCTCTCTGTGCCTCAGTTTCTTCATCTGCCAAACATATGATAACAGCATTGACCTCATAAGACTGTTGTCAGGATTAAAGGAGATAATGTATATTAAATGTTAGTACAGTGCCTGGCACACACAGTACGCACTCAGTAAATGCCTATTATTATTACACTGGCCACAGTGTGTTTCCGAACATGTCAAAAGAGATCAATCCCTCTTTAACGGGCTTCCCTGGTGGCACAGTGGTTGGGAGTCTGCCTGCTAATGCAGGGGACACGGGTTTGAGCCCTGGTCTGGGAGGATCCCACATGCCGCGGAGCAACTAGGCCTGTGAGCCACAACTACTGAGCCTGCGCTCCACAACGAGAGAGGCAACGACAGTGAGAGGCCTGCGCACCGCGATGAAGAGTGGCCCCCGCTTGCCACAACTAGAGAAAGCCCTTGCACAGAAACGAAGACCCAACACAGCAAAACTAAATGAATAAATTAATAACCTCCTACCCCCAACATCTTAAAAAAAAATCCCTCTTTAACAACCTTAACTATGAAATTACTAGATTAATTTGTAGAAGACAACTAGGGCAAGTCCACAGATGTAAAGCATGATAACTTTCAAATTCAACACAAATCAGATTTGTGAAGGGACTTCTCCCTCTCTCCTGCCCTCCCTCCTTCTTCCCTTTTACAAATGAAGAAACCAAAGTTCAGAGAAGTTAAGCTACTAGCCCCAAGTCACACAGCTTGTAGGTGGCAAAGCCAGGATTTGAACCCAAACCGGGCTCCGGGGTACATGGTTATGCCAGCCTTTCCCCAAACAGTGTGGAGGGGGGCCTGGGAAGCTGCCTCCTCCTTCTCCCAGCCTTTGGCGCCCCAGGGATCCAGGCTCAGGGACACACTGATGCCGCTGGAACGGATTTCTGCAGACTAGGGGAAGAGGCTTCCTCTTCCCTCAGAGTCCCAAGCCCAGATGCCTCCAACCAGAAACTGAGTCTCCCCCAGTACACACGATCCCTTTCTAACACTGCGTCCAGACAGACACCCTACTCTCAGAACCCCAGCCCTCCCACCCACACTTCTCACGTGTGGACTGCCCACTCCCAGGCCCCCTCCTCAGGGCCCGGTTGCAGAGGCTAAAGCAGAGAGAAGCCAGGCTACCCTGGAGCCATCCCCACATATACCCATGCAGGGAAGGTGGGCAGCGGAGATGCGAGTACAGACGACTGTGCGGGGGGTGGGGCAGACAAGCGGGGTAAAAAGCCTCATCCGCAGGAGAGGGACTCCCGGCCCCCGTCCTTATCTGACTCTGGGCCAGACCTATAGTTCGAGGATCTCCGTTTTCGCACGGTGTTAAAGAGAACACCTCCGGCTCCGGCGGCGCTCTGGAAAGTTAAAGCCGCACCAAGGTAACGGGAAGGCGACGTTCAAAAGAGAAACTGGGGCAGCAAGAGTACCAGCTGCGGTGCCGCGCAACAAAAGGGCGGGACCCCCGGGTAAGGGAGACTCAGCCTCCCTCTTCTTTCCCTTCGCGGGCCCCGGACCCTCCGTGGGGGCGTACGTGAGGCAACCCGTCGTGCCCCTCCTCTCCATACCCGGCCCCACCACTGCCTCACTCACCTCCAGGAAGCCCCAGAGCCGCGCACCCCAACGCCGCCTGCGCCGCCGGTAGTTCCGCACAGGCCACCCTACGGTTCGGCGGCAGGGGGCGGGGCCTTATTCGGGAGCCCTGATTGGTCAGATGTGGGGCGGAGCCGGGACGCTCTTGCGAGCTTTACTTCGCCTTCAGAAGCTGCCTTTTCAACACTGAGGCGGGGATAACGACGGTGCTCAACATCTGATTGGTCAACTTCCCAGGTCTAGCGGTCGATAGTCGGAATAGGGCGGGACCCCAGAAGACGGGCTCCGATTGGTCAGGACAAGGCCGGGGTATTTCGCGTTTGGTGACGGCAGTGTCAGAGTCTGGACCTGATGCTTCCGCAGAGCCAAAGGATGCAGCTGTGGGTAGGCGGCGGCCAGTGACCCACGCTTTCATACTTTCTTTCGAGTACTTAGGCCTATTTTGTGCCAAGAGGCACTATACTAAGCGTTGGGAGGCAGGAAAGAATTAAGAAGGGTCCTTTCCTGGAGGAGGGGGAGAGGCAGCGGGTAAGATATGAACACATGTAGCTGTGATCCAGTCTGTAAAATATGGGCAAGTTTATATGGAGTGCCTACTTTGCGCCATCTATTTTCCATATGCCAATGCATGCCAGCCTCATAAGTGTGCTTTAAGATGAATATTATTGTCCCGTTTTACAGACAAAGCAAAAAACGAGGTCATGAGAGTTGAAGTGACTTGACCAGAACCTTTTAGAGGCAGTCAGTATAATTCCCAAATTAACAGACGAAAGGAAAGAAAGAAAAGCCGTCTCAATAGGTACAGAAAAATCCACCAAGCGCTGTCCCTTTTTCTTAGTAGCTGCAATTGGAGTGCCACAGTCTTTTAAAGAGATGTTCCAGCATTTGACAAAATCCAACACTCATTTCTGATTTAAAAAAAAAAAATCTTCCAGCTTCATACAACTTAATAGCAAAAAAGACCCCAAACAATCCAACTTAAAAATGGGCAGAGGATCTGAATAGACATTTTCCCAAAGAAGACAGATGGCCAATAGGTACATGAAAAGATGCTCAATATCAATAATTATCAGGGAAATGCAAGTCAAAACCACAATGAGTTATCACCTCATGTGTTAGAATGACTATTACTAAAAAGGCAAGAAATAACAAGTGTTGGAAGGATGTGGAGAAAAGGGAACATTTGTGCACTGTTGATGGGAATGTAAATCGGTGCAACCACTATGGAAAAGAGTATGGAGCTTTGAGATTTCCTCAGAATTTAAAAATAGAACTACCTTATTATCCAGCAATTCCACTTTTGGGTATTTATCTGAAGAAAGCAAAAACACTGATTTGAAAAGCTAGATGCGCCCCCATGTTCATTGCAGCATTATTTATAATAGCCAAGATATGGAAACAACCGAAGTGTCCAGCAATGGATGAATGGATACAGAAAGTGTGGTATATATATATAATGGACTATGATTCAGCCGTAAAAAAGGGGAGATCTGGGCTTCCCTGGTGGCGCAGTGGTTGAGAGTCCGCCTGCCGATGCAGGGGACACGGGTTCGTGCCCCGGTCCGGGAAGATCCCACGTGCCGCGAAGCGGCTGGGCCCGTGAGCCATGGCCGCTGAGCCTGCGCATCCGGAGCCTGTGCTCTGCAACGGGAGAGGCCACAACAGTGAGAGGCCCGCGTACCGAAAAAAAAAAAAGGGGGGGGGGGAGATCTTGCCATTTTCAATAACACGGATGGAACTTGCAGGCATTATGCTAAGTGAAATAAGTCAGATAGAGAAAGACAGATACTATATTTCTCTCTTATATGTGGAATCTAAAAAAACAAAAACAAAAAGCAAGCTCATAGATACAGAAAACAGATTGGTGGCTGCAAGAGGCAGGGAGTAGGAGAAATGGGTGAAGTGGGTTTTTTTTAGTTTAACTAAATTAATAAAAATCTTTAAAAATAAAAATCTTGGGGTTTCCCTGGTGGCGCAGTGGTTAAGAGTCCACCAGCCAATGCAGGGGACACAGGTTCGAGCCCTGGTCCGGCAGGATCCCACATGCCTCGGAGCAACTGAGTCCATGTGCCACAACTACTGAGCCTGCGCTCTAGAGCCCATGAGCCACAACTACTGAGCCCATGTGCCACAACTACGGAAGCCCACGCACCTAGAGCCTGTGCTCTGCAACAAGAGAAGTCACCGCAATGAGAAGCCCGCGCACCGCAACGAAGAGTGGCCCCCGCTCACCACAACTAGAGAAAGCCTGCACACAGCAACGAAGACCCAACACAGCCAAAAATAAATAAATTTATAAAAAATAAAAATTAAAAAAAATCTTCCAGCAAACTAGGACTGGAAGGGAACTTTCTCATCTTGATAAAAGGCATCTATGAAACACCTACATTTAACAGCATATTTCATAATAAAAGACTAGATACTTTCTCCCTACAATTAGGAAAAGATAAGGATGTCTGCTATCACCTGTTCAATTCAATATTACACTAGAGTTCTAGCCAGTGTAATAAGAAAAATCAAAGACATCTGGAACGGAGAGGAAGAAGTAAAGCTCTCTTTATTCACAGACAGCATGATAACAGAAAATCTCATGGACTCTACAAAAAAGCTACTAGAATTGTTAATGGGTTTTGCAGTTGCAAGATACAAGATCAATATACAAAAATCAGTCATATTTCTATATATTAGCAATAAACAATCAGAAACTGAAATTTTTTAAAAAACATTTAAAATACATCAAGAAATATAAAAATTAAATACTTAAGGATAAATCTGACCCAAAAAATACAAGACCTGTACATTAAAGTTATAAAAAACAGTGTTGAGAGAAATTAAAGGAGATTAAATAATTGGAGAGATATACTGTGTTCATGGCTTGAAAAACTCAAATATTTAAGATATCAATTCTCCCCAAATTGACCTATAGACTCAATACAGTCCCAAATAAAATCCCAGTATGTTTCTTTGTATAAACTGACAATTTCTAAAATTCATATGGAAATGCAAAGGACTTAGAGAGCCAAAACAATTTTGAAAGCAAAGAACAAATTCAGATGACCTACATTACCTTCTTTAAGATTTATTATAAAAAAAAAAAGATTTATTATAAAGCTACAGTAATCAAGAGAGTGTAGTATTGGCATCAAGGTAGACAAATAAATGAATGGAATAGAATAGAAAGTCCAGAAATTGTCTCACACATACATGATCAATTAATTTTTGACAAAGGTGCAGAGGCAACTCAGTGGAGAAAGGACAGCTTTTTCAGCAAATGGTACAAGAACAATTGGATGTTCATATGCTAAAGACACACACACCACAAAACAAAACACAATTTTTAAAACCCTCTATCTGTACCATATCTGTACCATATGTAAAAATTAACTCAAAATGTATCATATACCCAATTGTAAAACCTAAAACTATAAAACTCGTAGAAGAAAACCGAGAATAAAATCATTGTGACCTTGCATTAAGCAGAAATTTCTTAGATACGACACCAAAAGTACGATCTCTAAAAGAAGAATGGATAAATTGGACTTTGTCAAAATTAATAACTTCTGCTCTTTAAAAGACATTGTTAAGAGAGTGGAAATACAAGCCACAAGATTGGAGAAAATAATTGCAGATAACATGTCTAATAAAGAATTTGTATCCAGATTATATAAATAACTCTCCCAACTCATAAGAAAACAACCCAATTATTTTTATTGAAGTATAGTTTATTTATAATATTGTGTTATTTTCAGGTGTATAGCAGAGTGATTTAGTTAAATATACATATTTTTCATATTATTTTCCATTATAGGTTATTACAAGATATTGACTATAGTTCCCTATACAGTAAATCCTTGTTGTTTATCTATTTTATATATAGTAGTGTATATCTGTTAATCCCATACTCCTAATTTATCCCTCCCCCCGAACCATAAGTTTGTTTTCTATGTCTCTGAGTCTGTTTCTGTTTTGTAAACCAGTCCATTTGTATTATTTTTTAGATTCCACATATAATGTTTGTCTTTCTCTGTCTGCCTTACTTCACTTAGTATGATATTCTCTAGATCCATCCATGTTGCTGCAAATGGCAATATTTCATTCTTTTTATGGCTGAGTAATATTCCATTGTGTATATATATATATATATATATATATATATATATATATATATCACATATTCTCTATCCATTCATCTGGTTTTTTGTTTGTTTGTTTTAAGGTTAAAAAAACCAAAACTTTTATTTAGAAAGGCTGAAATGATTGTATGCTAATTTGCACAGCTAGGTTGTATAAGAAAGTTCCTTTTTTTTTTTTCGGCTGCGCCTCACGGCTTGTGGGATCCTAGTTCCCTGACCAGGGATTGAACCCAGGCCTCAGCTGTGAAAGCACAGAGTCCTAACCACTGGACCACCAGGGAATTCCCAAGAATATTCCATTTTTGATGTCTTCCAAGAATTGGATTCCATTATGTGTGCTTTGTTCTTTCTTCAGACCTCTTAACTTCAGACTGGAGTTGAGCAGAAATATGGCTTACTCCTTTCCCCTCAAATCATTCTCAGGCTCCAGACAAGGGGCTGGACCTTTGGGTGAACAAGCAGGTAAGTGGCAATGGTACCTTTTAACTCGGGAGGCTTTCCAGGAGTGATACAGGAACAAGGAACAAGCTGCTCCAGAATGAGAACATCATGTAATTAGCAAAGTATCTAAAATAGCCAAAACTATTCTCACTATGAATAGCCAAGAAAATGCTATCCACAGACATTTGCTGTATCTTAGACAGTTCCTTATGGAACAAGTTCTCATCCTGTCTCCCAGTTAGCTCCAGTGGGTTCACCATTACAGGCTCTGGGGCTAGAACAGGGGTAAGACAGGATGCTTGCTTTCCTCATTGGCATCCATTCATCTGTTGGTGGATACTTAGGTTGCTTCCATGTCTTGGCTAACAAACAACCCAATTTTTTAAATGATTAAAAGAATTGAACACCAAAGAAGAGATACATACAGATGGTGAATAAGCACAAAAAAGATGCTCCACATCACAGAACTCTCCTACTGAGGCTGGTCAGAGACTCAGCTC